AAATATATATACAAGAACTAATCTGAATTATCAGTGTATGCATAGTCAGTTGAATTATTAGAACACCCAGGACCCTGTTGGCATTTCTGATCATTCCAAGGGTTTCTTCATCTCTGGACTATGGCAATACAGTAGTAATTCCAGGCACCAGTTTCCACAATGTAGCCTGGAAAACTGTCTAGAGTTCAGTCACAGAAATTAGCTGGTCTTATTTAATTATTCCAATTTGTATGAAATATATGAGGTATAGTCACCTTTGTCCCTATTTCCCTGATTAGGTTACAGAGGCTTAAAGAGGTTAAAGAACTTGCTGGGGGTGGGGGGGTGTCGTTTAACTTGGAAGTAGTAGAGACAAGATCCAACTCAGATCTTGTCACATCCAAAATGAAACTGTTCACATTTTACAACAGCAGTCTGACCCAAGTCGGCCACCAAGCTGTGTCACCTCAGGCAACCCAGTGTATTCATGGCCTCATCTTCTGAATGGGGATAATATGCGTGTTTGGCTTCCCTCCTCAAGAGAACCAAGGGGGCGGGTGTGATAGGAAGATATTTTTGAAAAGAACAAAATTCCATGCGTATAAAGGGAGTATTTTGGGTGAGAAAAGAAAGAAAGGGATCAGGGAAATATTTTTCCAAACTGACAAAGTTCTCAGCCTTCACCCCCTGCCCTCTGCCTAGCTGAATCAGCTGAGCTGTCTTTACCTATAACTGCTTTACGTAGGTCTGTGTATCAAAATCCATCATCAGCTCCTGGGGAAGAGGTGGCTGTTTGGTCCCAAGGAATCCTGCGTTCTTCAAGGCGGCCCACATTCTTCACTTGACCCTAGCATCATTTGCTCTGAACAGGACAGGAAGTCAACTGCTGGTATCTAAGCCAAGGACCACTTTAAAAGAAAATGTTTTCTCAACCCTAAAAGTTACCCTTTAATGAAGTAAAACATCTCTAAATAGAAAGTTTTTCTGGCCTGAATCTATGAAACTTCTAGATGAGAAATGTAAAAGCTATTAACTTAGACTAAGGCAGCTAAGGGTATGGGCCCTCCAGACTTTAGCCCCAACTTGGTGTGCTGAAGGAGGCAGCATACTCTAGCAGAAGGCTAAGTGCAGGTGGAAATGAAAATTTAAGTCAAGCAATAATGTAAGTGGGCATCAGCACTGGTAGTCACGAAGTATACGCTGTGTATTCCCTGGTATTTTCTTTTCTGCTTTTATAAAGTGTCTGCTTGACCAAAGTGTCTGCAACTTCATGGCAGGTTGGGAAATACCAGGGTTGCCTTTAGAAATAGCTCTAAACAAAGTATAAAACTTATAGCAATGGGCATGATGGTGGTATTTCTACCTACTTCATTCTAGATGGAAACATTATGGAAGCTCACAGGGCACTATAGTTTGAATGTTGAATCCCTTCCCCAGAGTTCATATATCAAAGGTTTGATCCCAAGAAAGGCACTAGAGAGGGAGGTGGTAAAGCTTTTAAGAGGTGTGGGCCTAAGTGGGAGGTCTTCGTAAGTGGGAGGCCACTGGGGCCATTTCTGGAAAGGAATTTGAGGACCCCAGCTCCTTCTTCTTTCTTTCCTGTGCTTCCTGGCCATAAGAGCAGCAGTTTTGCTCCACCATGCATGTGCTCCCACCACAGTGTACACTAACACTGAGGCATACCTATCAGGGGTAGAAATTCCAAAACTGTAAACCAAAGTAAACCCTTTCCCTTTGTCATTTGATTTTCCGAGGCATTTGGAGTTGCTAATCCTCTAGCACCAGAGCAAGCTTTTATATTCCCCACTTCTACCCTCTGCTAGGACGCCCCCATACCCTGGGCCCCTAAACAAATTAAATCCCATCATCCCATCTTTAGGGTACTGCAACTCTTACAATGTTAATGAAATACGTTAATAATAATTTACTCCATTCTTCTGGTGGTAGCAAAACTGAAGCAACTTGAAATGCCATCAGCAAAAAAATAAAAAAAAAATCATTTTTTCCCATCCCTGAGCATCAGAGAAAACAGGGTTACATTGGCCGGGTCTGCCTTCAATAGCTTTCTGGTTTCAATTAAAACTTCAAGTCTCCAAGGGAAAAACTGGCATTCTGGGAGGCCACGGCCCAGCCAAGTTTCAATGTCTCCACAGAACCCAGAAAGGATGTCCCATCCGTCTAGTTATTTCTCATCTTCTTCCTTTTGCATAGTATATAGATGCTTCAGAGCAGAAATTGACTCACCACTAAAAATAATGATCATATTGCAATATCTCTCCTCTCCTGGATGTACATTGTTGTGCCAGGGAAGAATCGATTCAGCCCCTAATGGAATTCAAAGTTAAGGTAACAGCAGAAAAGGAATAGGGAACCCAAGGGAAAGTATCCACCTACTTATTTCTTCTTCAGCAAAATCCAGCCTCCTGCCTTTCCCCACTGATCATTTTCAACTAAATTCTACAAAGATCCCAAGCAGGGCTTCTTCTCTTCCCCAACCTACCCTGAAAACAGGTGATTTACAAAGTAACTCGCTTAAGCAATGCAAGTTCAAAACCAGAAGCCCTCAGGGTATCAGGGTTGTTCAGTTCCCTCCAGGATACCTACAGGTTTTCCCTGCAAGAAGTCCAGAACTGGGCCTCCCAGCAGAGGCTTCCTATGTAACATTCTGATGTTAACATGCAAAAGATCAGATTACAAACCTTCCCTGGCCTAGCCCATTCATGAACATATAAGGCAGTTGATATTTTCTCCCAGGCTAGAAGTGGCCCCCTTCCTAACAGACACTGCTGCCTCTCAGACAACCCTTCCTTCTCATGTTCACTACAAGCCATCCCCTCCTCCACCTCGTTTGTTTATTCCAGTGACACACATTTATTTTCCCTGCTATGAGAGACAAGTCTGTTTCCCTCCTCTGGCTCCTGATGGCATTTGCTCACCACATCCCCCAGCTCAACTCAGGTTACTGTAGTGGCTATAGCTCCCACAGCCCAGCTCTAACACCACTTCTCAATTCAACTTCTCAAGACCTGGATGGTTTTTCTTAATGTGGAAGGAGGTGACTGTGTGCACTAGGAGTACTTGGTCCCCTGTCTTCTGAGGCTACATTCCCTACAGTTTTCAAATGCTCTGTATTCAACTTGCTTTCTTCCTCTTCTGATTTGCTTCAAACCCTCTTTCCTAACACCCTTTTCTGGTAATAGGCAAGGAGATTAAACAGGAGAAAACTTAACACCTTCAACTTGCTCTGAAACCTGGGAGTTCTACCTTCTAGCAAAAGAGATCCAGACTCCCTCCTTCAAGGAGTTTAAAGGCAGTGGAAGCCAAAAAAAAAAAAAAAAAA